TATATATATATATGTAATGTCCGGGGAAGCATGTGCAGTCAAAGATTGAGTAAATTACCCTAGAGTGTACCGTCCAACACAGATTGACTTTCATTTGGAGGTGCTTAGAGGCGGTCTGGGCCGATTCATCACTGCGAATGTACTGACATCAGTAAATCGTGGGCCTGAGTTACCTGAAAGGGAGTCTATTCAAGTGAGGAGCACATTAGGGATGTGGAAAGTAAAAGTGCCAATGTAAAATAGAGGGGATAATGATTTTAAATTCCCCTCCAGTGAAAAATGCTATGAAGGTACTACTAAATCCATAGTGCTCGAATCCGCGAGTTCGTCCATGGACCTCGCTCGGTTCATGCGGGACTTGTAGAATGAATGATTGAGCGCAATCGGACAATTGGTTCAGGTCCTGTATGACATAGCGTATTTGAATCAGTGTGTCTACATCAGTGACACCTGTGGAATACCTACGCGGTAGGAATGGGCGGGCCGATTCGCACACATAAAACGCCAAATTTCCGAAGGGTCCTTAGGTTGACTGATGCAGCTTCTTAAACTAGGTCATCTCGAAGCGGATGGTTACGACCAAGACAAGGCAATGCAAACATATCCCTTCGTCAGAAATGGCGAACTCGCAAGAGTTCATTGGTGAATATTTATTCAGATTAACTGTGTACACGGAATGGGTAAGTGGCTTATGTTCGATTCGACTTGGATGGACGGTTTGCTTCCTGTTCACACAGGCGAATCGGTGTCGATTCGAGTCTGTTGTATGGCAAGTGGTTCAAACCACTTGTCGTAGTCCATTCGAGGCGTCGCACTGCACATAGCATACAGGAACAGCAAGGCCCGCGCAGCCGCATTTCGCCGGGCTTCGTCCAGACTTGCGGACGCGTTACTTTTGATCACATGTGGTGGAGTTGTGGACAATTGAAGAAGACAGTAGACGGATCCTGAAGCGTGGACAGACAGAAACATAAGTTAAGGGTATTGAAAAATGGAAAATACAGTGCAACTTTTTAAACCTCAATGCATTAGGATGTGACGCGAAGTATGAAAACTGGGAAAGCATTTCCCTTGTTCAGTCGCCACTATACTACGTTCCACAACGAATTTCGTCAAAAAAAACTGACCTATACAGTCACTCATTTCCACCAGAAAGCTAGAAGTGTCAGAGTTTGACCAGATTGCAGTAGTTCACTTCGTCACGGCAAATTAGTATCACGCGCCAAGCAGGTGCTGGACCGCCAGTTGATACTGCCTGAACTACCCAACAGGAAAACCAAAGACAGGCATGTGTGCTCCATAACATCTAATAGATTGACCACGAGACGCACTGAGACATGTGCGTCTGAATATTTTATGGTTCCAAGTAGACACTGCAGAGCTATACGCAGTCAACCAAGACACTCACCAAAATTCTTGACTTTTTTGCTTCATGTTCGCTTTCTTACTTTTAGACCGATAGTAAAAGACCCTTCTGCAATTTGCTTCCATACCAGCAGACATCAACCACTCCTTATTTGGGGGATATAGCAAGGGAAAGAAAATGGAGCTTACACAGCTAAATAACTCCCTGCAGACCCAATCGCCGTATCACGGTAGCCCAACGGTCTGAGAATTCTGAAGCGCAGTAGCAAGGTGAATCCGGACAGGCGCAGTTCACCGGTCCGCTAATTGTGGCTGTATCATGTCAATTAGTCGGTAACCGACTGCGCTTCCAAACTGGTCATCAATCACGCGGCTACTGTTCTTAGCTATGTTGTGTGAACCCGAGTCTGATCAGTGAGCGGGAACAAAACACCACTGAAAGAGGCAATCCTACGAACATGACAATTCGGCAAAAAAAGAACGTTCATGGGCGACCGCTGCCAAAACGGTAGTTGTATTTACCAGTCTGCCGCGTAACACGTGAGGAAGAATAGCCAAATATTTTTCGTAGTTGCCAATGGGATACCTATACTGTGGTGCTATAATCAACGATGGCTTCTGTTAAGGGAATACCAGTTCAGTGCAAACTTCGTGGGTGTGTTGAAAGTATAGCTCTTGAAACCTGCGCTACAAAATTGGAAAATGGATCGTTTGTTCTGATTGTCTCTATGGTATCGGAAAAAAGATAAGCTATCTGTTGATTCACATTCCGAGACTGTCAGAAGTATGGTGCAACCAGCATAGAACAGTGGGATCTGTTGCTTTTCTGACGACATTCTAAGACCGTAAATTCAGCAGGATTTCCAGAAGACAACTTGCATTCCCTCCTAAGACGGACGGTCAACACAGTGGCTTCCAGAAATAATAATCTTCCGGCTTTCGTTTCCTTCCTTTTTTCTCTCATTTTTAAGACGCACGGCTGCCGTACTCATTCCGTTATTCAGCTGTAACAACCCTTTCGATACCTGGATGCCATGCCACCAGAAGGAAGCATGAGGGCCATGTTGCCCAGGCCTTAGCAGGGAAAGTCAAGAGGCAGAGGTCAGGTTCGAACCACAGACCTTACGGTCAGTGAATTCGCGCTCTACCCATCCGAGCCATCTTGCCCCTTCGGCTGCCATACTACCAGAGGATGTCACGAAGGCTGAGATACTCTCAGAACGCCTAAGCTTAGACAGGGACAGTGAATTACCAGGGTTAGGATCGATAAACGGACCTCAAATCCGTAACACATGACCAGGACACCTTTTGATGAACTAATCAAACATAATGCTGCAAATATAGTATATGAAGAACTTCCGCGTCTAGACTGCTGGGTAGAACATTTTCAAAAACAGTTCGATAGACAGTCGGATTCTGTAACTGCTTTTTATTCGACCCGCTCAGCTCGGGCCGTGTTCCATGAGTCAGTTAAAATACTACGACCTTCCTGACGTCAGGCGGCATCAAGTTGTGGAGCCAGATAGGCTTCTATTAAAGGTTTTGGTGCATCTTTGTGTTTTGCATTATTGTTTGAATTAATTTAGGTAAAAGAACGCGTTCTAAATTGCTGTCGTCGGTCAGTCGTCATACCACTATTCAAAAAGAGTACAGCTCCAACTATGGGTCAAGCCGCATATCATACGGACAACTGGGTTCAACGATGCGAAAGACACAAATCCGGAAGCGGAAACTAGTGCGGTTCGCAACTTTCTGCCACTTTCTGTTTCTACTCGACCTTGTCGCACATATTATCACATTATGATGTCTGCAGAAAGACCCGTGGATGCGGGTTGTGCGGATGACATCGTCTTGCTATTTGACTACTGTGGGTCCGCACAGTCTATTCTACCTATCTTCTATCTATTACATCCGATCCGGATATGATCCCTAGTTTCGGTGTGCGTCATGCCCTTTCCAAATGTGAAAGGTTGCTTCAGCATTCCGAGTTTTCTTGTATTCCTCTGAAACATCAGAGAGACTTAGGTTTTTTGGTCAGTTTACTTAGCTGAGCAGCTACACAAGTCGA